AAAAATCTCCTTGAAGCTTGAACCCCACTTGGAACCAAGCCAATATGTTGTAAGAAGTGACTTCTACATCTCCCATGTGCTCCAGTTGATGTGTGGTAAATAAAGCATGTGGGACTTAGATAATGATATGACTGCCACATAGGATTAATTATGTGTTGTCATTTTATGTTATATCTAAGGTAATTTTTAATAGGGTTAGGTTATTTAGCAATTCTGTGTTTCATTTTTGGGAGTAAAGAATAGTCTTCTTCTCCCCTTAGCTTTCTCTTCTTATTATTTTCTTTGGAATTATCCTATAATAATTGGATTTTCAGACAACTATTTAAAATATATATAAAAAATCTTTCTTATTTTTTTATTAAATTTCTCTTATATTTTTCCTTAAAAATTTTATCAAGAGCTAATAGAACTTCCCTTATTTTCTCACATTATCTTTCATTTTCTCTGTATCCGCAGCCTTTAATGCCCACCAACAATGATGAATAAAGACAAAGAAAGCTGCAGCAAATATCTCGAGGGCCCGATGAAATGAATTCGATGCACGAGAAAACAGGCTCAATAAGACTACGTTGCTCCGAGACAATTTGTTACGGTCCAAGAGATAAACACAAAATGTCTAATATCCGAGACCCACTGATAAAGGAATTTACCTAATTATCATAAAAAATCTCAAATTACCACCTAAAATCATGAATTGTCATTCTCCTAAGTTCTAACTCTAACTGAGAATCAAGGGGAAAAAAAGGATGATTTAAAATTTTTAAAATTCAAGCCCCGGAAATTAAGAAGTTTCCTTTCTATCATTTATTTTGAATTAATAGATATTTTTTAATTTAAAAATTATCTTATAATAATTATTTTTTATATATTTTAAAAAATAAATATTTTTTAATTTAATTATTATTATTTTTAGCTTTAATTATTTATCCTATTGTAATTTAAGTTTTATTTTTTAAAATGCAATATATAAATAAAAATAAAAATTATTTTCAAAATTTTAAAATAAAAATAAAAATAAAATACATTTATTATTCTAAAATGAAGAGTGCAGTTTTAATGTTTAAAGAAAAATATGAGCCGGCAATTAGTCTTTTGACTTAAGCCTAAAATTAAGAAGTAATTATAAAATTTAGGCCTCTCAAAAAAATTTATATTGAGTATTTTTTAAATTAGTTTGTTGGGTTTGATTTTTTAGTGCTTGGTAGATAACTGAACGCGGTCTTCCTCTTCCCCATGCTCTACCCCTGCCTCCCATTTATCTTCTTAACACCAAGACTAGGACACAAGTCCATGTGAAGATGCCTCAGCAAGCCCACAATGGTTCCCATTTGTCATCTTCGTCTGAGATTCAAAAGGTTAAAAAGGACCCAATTAGTAATGTGCACCACTTATTATTAAAAAGAAAAAAAGAAAAAGCCTTACAAATGTTCATAAAATTACTAAAATGTCATATTTCAATCAATTTAAATGCCATCAACCCCCAAATAATTTGTAAAATTACAATTACTTTTGACTTTTGAGGAAGATAAATGAACAAAAAGGAGAAACAAAGAGAGAAAATGTTGATTTTACTTTCTCATCCTACTCTATTTAGATTGTTTTTGACATAATTAACAAGGGTCTAACTGGTTAAATTATGACCGTATTATAAATAGTTAATATTATATTATTTTAATATAATTATTTATTTTATTTTATGTATTATATTTTTTAAAAAAATTATTT